AAAACCTTTTAATAAAATATTAAAATCCTTAAAATAAGAAAAAAACAAAGAACAATTAGTTTTGTTTTTATCTATTAATTCTAAAATCTTACATCATCACGATGAATACGTGATAAATAATTAATAAATAAATTTGGACAGTCATCTCCTGGTAATGATGAAACTGTTTTACTTGTTGGTGATGACGCTTGATCATTCGAGGAAAATGAACTATTATCTAATGTTATACATAATAATTGGGCAGCTACTTCGACTAGAGGTTCACGTGTGTCAGTAAATAATAGATAATTATATGGTAAATAACCAACTGGATCATAGGAAAATACTATATTTATTAGCGATGTAAATAGAGGTAATGTTTGTCTAAATAAATAATATAAAATAAAAGAATATTTTTCGATTATTTTATTTTACCGATTATGACCAGATGTAAAATAAGTTAACCATTTATTTGGATGAGCATGTAATTCGACTAAAAAGATTTCTTTTTTTTTTAAAAGCAATTTACAAATAATGGCATGAATATATATTTAAAAATTAATGCAAAGCTGATGATTGTTTAGTAACAAAAAGAATACTTCGTCAAGTGTAATGATGCTTAACAAGCTCAAAGACTCATTATTATATGCTTCTCACGAGAGAAACTCTTTAGTTGCCTTCTTCCTATTTTTTTTTGTCTATAGATACTACATAGAATCCTAAAAGAACTTTGGTTCCTATTAAGATTTGACTAAGCTATAGAGTTTTTTTTTCTAGAGATCCTAAGTTTTTGAAAAACTCATATTTTCGAAATTGAATCTCAACATTGTGAATATAGAGAACTCAACCAGTCTAATTTCCATAAAAAAATTCAAAAATTTTGAACAGAGTCTCTTTGAGATATGAAGCTTTCAAATAATGCATGCTAGTTGGATACAATATCCATGAAAAAGGATTCATATCTTGAAAGTCTCATACTCTCAAAGAGAGTTCTTCAAAACGTTTGAATTTTAGTCTTGTTGAGTTCTCTATATGAGCAATATTTCAAGTCAAAATTCAAAAATATGAGTTTTTCGAAAACCTGCAATCTCCATAGGAATCCAAACCCTTTTAAGGGTTCTATATAGTATCTAGAGGCAAAAATCATTGAAATTCGAAAAAGGTAGCTGAAGAGATTCTCTCGTTTGCTCATCTACTTAGAAAACAATTTTATCTCAAACAGTCCGATAATAAGAGTAAACCAACAAAAATCGAAGCCTTCAATTTGATTAATAATGCACCATTATCGAATATCTTTTACGGACTATTCTTTAAAGGTTCTATTGCAAATTTCTAGTAGCTGGTGGTGCGAACGTTTCTAGACGAGCGAAAAAAACTGTTTAGTTGAAGATGGACTTGGACATTTATATTCGAGAGTAGTGAAGGAATCTTTCAAAGTCCTGAAAAAATAGTCAGCATGCCGAAAAAGTGGATTTTTGCTAGCCGGATATTTTTTTTGTGTGAAGATGCTAATAAATATTACGTTTTGTAAAACAGACACTTATCTAAAAAATGTTGCTATCAAACTAAACTGTCACGTTTATCCAATTGAAGTTATGAGCTCTCGTGAAATGTCCTTTTTCGTCAAAAAAGTCGGTTTTTCAAAAACGCCAGTAGTAGAAAAACAACCGTTTAGATGCTTTATCGAAAGACGAAATAAAACTTGAATAGTATATTTTACTCCACAAGTTAGTATATAAACTAAAGATTCAACATGTAGTCTCGAATTCCAATTGTAGAATCACGAAAATGTATGAAAAAAAATTTTCAGGTATTTCGCTGATAACGTGACGAAATATGAATATGCAAACGCAAAAATACTCTTATAACCGAATAAGCAGTTCAAACCCTTCTTCAGAATCTCTAGATTATGGCAATACAAAAACTTTTGTCTTGGAATTAGACAACATGTCTAGAAAACCAGTTTGTAAGAGGAAGTTTTGTAGAGCTCAACGTTGCTCAAAACCTCACAATAGATGTGGTTCATACTGCAGCGTCTATCTTTAAATTTTCAAAATTTTTTCTTATATTGTTACAGAGACATTTGCCAATTATTTTTTAATTTACAGTTAGTTGAAAGAATCAACATTTTTACATATATATCCTGAAAGTACTTATTCAGAAACATAATCCTTGTAAATAATAACCATCAAATGAAAGGTCGATATGCTCCGTTTCGCTTGAAGTGGCTCATTGATAAAAGAGTTATTGTTTTGTTTTTTGCAGTGATCTACAATGTTTTTTTTTCGTAATTACAAATTTAGATTTTCGGCTCAAGTATGTTTATAGGATTTTCGCTGAATCATAATGAATAACACATTTCATTAAAATAGTACATTGAAATAATAAATTACCCGTTGGTGTCATATAAATTGTTTCTGAAAAACATGTTAGTAGAAGTTTAAGAATTTCTGTTCGATTTCTATCATTGCTTGGTACATGAACAGGTGATTGAGAAAATCCAACACCAGCTTCCCAAATATATTCACAACTATCAATTGTATGAATATCTTCTGGATTTTCCTAAAATATATTAATTTAATTTTGTTTTTTTTTTTATCATTCGATGTAAACTTTCATACGGGTCCTTTTTTTTTCTTTGATGCAACTGTAAAATCCGGACAAAATAAAAGATCCTTGAAGAATAAAAATCAAATATTTAACACAAAACTAATAGAAATTCTTCTTACTGCTAATGTTTGAAGAAGTCGCTCAGCTAATGGCGGTTTACTAACATATTCCTGTCAATAAAGAAAACGATATTTTTCATTAAAAAAAAAAATTATTTTTCTACGAACTCCATTTGATGTTGTTTGTTGTTGACCTGTCGGAATGTCTGACCAAAAAAAGCCTCGCCATTCAGGTTCCTCAAATATATATGGTAATAAACGAGTTAATAATCGAACACAATTAATAGCTATAAATAGATATTAAAAATTTATTTTGTTGTAAATTCTTTATGAAATCTTTTTCTAACCAGCTGTTTGATCTCGTTGAGTTTGACATGATTGTTCTGCAGCTAATTGTAAACGATCAACAAGTTTATTACATAGAGTAGCTAAATTTGATGGTAATTCTTCACGTAATGCACGTATTTCAGCAGCTGGTACTAGAGCAAATATATCTTGTACACTTGAAATTTTATCCGACCAAAATTGATCCCAAAATGATTCGTCATTCGGTTCAATTTGCTATTAAACGAAAAAAGAAATATTTTTATTTGAAATACTTTCTTTTGATTATTTTACTTGACTACGAGATGTTAGTTGAACAACTGCTACACGAAAATCAACTTTCGAATCAGTATTTCCCATGATTATATGACGGTCGGTTTTTTATTGTAAAAAAAAAAGAAAAAAAAAACAACTGAGCAGAAATGAGTAATAGCGACAGAAATATGATTGGTTTATTTTTTGATCAATCAAAGAAGAAAGTGTCAAGCGAGCGTGTGTGCATGCGTAATTAAGTTGTTTGTATTTGTAATATTTGGTCTTATCTACAATAGAAAAGTGAATGCTGAAATTAAGAAACGTGGTTGGTTGAAAAGTTAATTCAGATTTTATGTATTTTTCAGAGACAAATTAAATTTAATGCACCAATCTCGAAACAACTTGATCCACTAATTAAAACAATGAATGTACCTCAATAAAGTCGCTTTGTAGTATTGACATGTAGATCTTTTCAATTCAATATGATAAACTATAGGGATTAAAAAGAAAAACAGAAGCGACATTTTTCTTTTTCGTGAACATGTTTTAGAATTATGTACTTCGACTACATTATAGTGGCCGTTTCTCAATTCTGATTGATGCATTAAATTCATAAGTATAGACAAGACCTGGATCAATTAGAGAAACTTTTGGGTTGGTCGACAAATAATTTTTTCTCACTTTGTCGACAACTTCTTTTGCTTTGATAGACCGTATTTTAGTAACTAAGCATTTAGCTCGATAAGTTAAGGCGCACGTCATAAAAAACATCACGAATGACTACTTTCTTATTAAAATTAAGCCTAGAAATATGAGTACTAGCAATATATTTCTTTATTTTTAAATAATAAGATGGGACATGAAGAGACATAAGTGTTTTCTCTTCTTGACCTATGCTAACTAGACATGTACGAAGTCGAGATCAACAAAATTTGATCTCGGATTTTTCTAACATCAATGGCCACATTCACACCACAGATCTTTAAAATCGCTAAAAAAAATTGTTGATTAATCATGACTTGATGATCGATGATTATCCTTCATTGCTTCAATAATAGAATATTCGTTTTTGTTAGTAAATTAAATTTAGAAAACAGAACGATTTAAGAAGTCATTTTAAATAAATCATCTATAAGTGAATCTAAAAATGAATATGAAGTTCAATATAATCGCTGTCTAAAATTAGGGACAAATACACTTATCGACCCCCCCCCCACCCTCATGTATTGACCTAACTCGACTAATTAGCCTCTGAGGAGTTCATTAAAAGTATTCCCAAGGATCACAGATCAATAGTTTAAGAGACAACGTGTATTTGTCCCGCTTGATACAAGCCTCACAAAGCATCTCAATAGCTGAGGGTGCCANNNNTGTGCGTCAATGTTTTTTGTAGACCCATCCGAGTCCATGTTTTTGTGCATCCGCAGCGCCCTATATAGGAAAATGAACAATAAGTAATAACTATATGTTAGCTTTTTTCGAAGATTAGCCAATAAATGTCTAAAACTTTGATCCTTCACTTGTTCATGTGCGTAGAAACTGAAAGATATTGATGGAAAAAAAATTCCAGTCTGGACTCGAATGGGTCTACAAAAAACATTGACTCACAGCTTCCTAGAGCTCATTCGTCTCTAAGATATTTTCATTAATTAAATTTGTTTTTTTAACTATTGATAAAAAATTATTTAAAGAATAACTTTCAAAGATTCCTTGTTGAATAAACTATACTTCAAACGATGTTTGAAAATAAGTGTTTTATATTAAATATGAACTATGACGGGGTTAAAAGAACCATCTAATTCGTGAAATTTCTTTTTAACACTTATATTATGCACTCATAGTAGAAAATTATATATATTATTTTTGCTTTAGTTCACCGATAGGTTCTTCACGTTTGCATGACAATCTGAATAATAGTCATTTATTACCTATTCAACATTTTCATCAATCTCAACGTCTTCGAAAAGATGAACGAGATCTTGATACTGAAGAAGAAAATTGGTTTAATGATGATGGGGATGAAAATAAACTATCATTTAATAATCATGGTACATTATTTAATGGTGGCTCGGACGATGAAGACAGTCAGCCGGAAATAAGTGGAAATAGTAGTGCAATTTCAACTAATGAACCCATTCGATCGCATCATCTTCTCGTAGATAATGACGATGATGGATTGCCAATGGCATCCACCGAAAAAAAATCAAGTAAGAAAAATAAATTTCTTTTCGAAATTATTTACAATAAACAATAATTCTTCATTCTATTTAGGAACATCACGTTCCCAGTATAATAAACCACTAATCAGTATTCATATTCGACGTTCACCGATATCTTCTGTTGGTCAATTACCTCCATCCTCCTCCTCATCATCATCTTCAAGTTCTGAAAATGATTCAACACTTCGAGTTGAGATTCCTCAATCGACAACAAATGGTTCTCCAACTTCATCATCACCTCGACAAATTGAGCCAACATCTACGTTTACTTTGGTACAAAATAATAAAAAACGGACGATCGAAAAGTTTTTAGACAGGATGTTTGTTCACTTTTGACTGGCTAGATAGTATTTCAAAAACTATAGGTCGTGACTAATATTTGAATATGAGTTTAGGCATTTTCGTTATTATCCTATAAGTCCCATTTCGAACATCGGAAAAATTATCGGAATCGGCCGTTTTGTAGAGCAAACACTTCTCTACTAAAAGTGATATTGAACTAAGCTGTAGTTTTTACCGAAGGACTTTTTCAAGTGTACTTTTCAATAGCAGACAGTTATCGATTTTTGTAGGTTAGTTTCTGATCTGAAATTAGATATATAAATAAAGAGCTTAGCTAATGTTTGGGGCTTTTCAAAGATTATTTCGCTACTCTCGAACAAAAACTGAGACCAAAACTCTTGTCCTAACTCATAGCTTTTTACTCATCGGAAATACTTTCTAGCGGGTCAAAAATGAATAAACATCTTGTCCAAAAGCTTTACGATCATTTGTTTTAATGATTCGAAAAAAAGAAAACAATCTTTTTTTTCTTCGATCATTTAGAGTCCTGGTTTATCGAGTATTGCTGATCAGTATAATGATGATGAAAATGAACAAGAAGAAGAAGAAGAAGTTGAACCCGATGTGTCTGTAAAATCAAATCAATCCAATGACAATACTAGTAACAGTGATTTATGTACATCAACAACACGTAAACGTAAAATTGATGAAGATAATAATAATAATAAAGATGAGCAATATTTTTCATCAATATCGAATGATAATAATACATCTTCATCAAATGATAATAATACTGAACAAACTAAAGTATTTAAACGGAGTAATGATGAATTAACAAAGTGAATTTATTTTCGTTGTTCTTCTCAACTCAGGTGTCGTTTCAAAATCCCATACACACACAAACTAAGAGACTTAACGATATATATATACATATTAAATTAAATAAAAAGTTTTCGTTCTATTGTCCGAGCAAACACTAGTTGATGATGTCTGTGTGTACGTGCGTATGCTTAAACACGATATGTTTCTTCATGTTCTTTTTTTGTTTTTTGCCCTTATTCAATCTATCTATTTATGTATATGTACGTATCATCGTTACTTCTGTTTGATTTTCTTTTCTTTTTTTTTTCTATCGGTCTCGGACGATAGAAAAAAACAAAAGAGATTTGTGAGTTCAGATTCATTTTTTGTTTTTGTGCGCGTGCGTGTGTCTATTTGTATGTGTGTACAGATTGAAAGATATCTAAAAAGACAGGAGTCGATATTTTATTGCATGTAGTTGTACTTGTTGGCTCTACTTTTTTCTTCTTTTTTCGTTGTTGTTGATGTTGTTGTCATCTTTGTTTCTCTCGCGCTCCATCTCTCTCTATCTCTCTCTGTCTATTATTTTCGCATTTTGCTTACATGCATTGAAAACAAAATCTTGTAAGAATTTTATAAAAACTATATAAACGAAAAGATGAGAAAACTATACATATAAACATTTTTTATTAAATACAAACAAAAGCAGTATAAATAAGAGCTTCGGATCTCGGTTTCAGATCATGTCGCTTATGCGAACAATTACTGTTGGTCTCACGGGGGCCGCAGGCATCTATGGTGGTTTAGTGCTTTATCGGTACGTTTAATTATCTAATGCTCTAGAATTCTTCACTAATTTTCTTCTAATTATAAGAGAATATTTTGTTAAAGCACAATATAAAGGCAATGAACAATTATTTGGTAAGACAGCTATTGTTACAGGTGCTAATACAGGTATAGGAAGAGAAATAGCACATGATTTTGCTCGACGAGGTATGAATGCTAATTTTAAAAAGAAATCATACAAATTTGAGTGTTTTCCTTTTTTTTGTTTTGTGTCCAGGTGCTCGTGTCATAATGGCTTGTCGTGATATGAAAAAATGTGAAGAAACACGAGAAAAAATTATCGCTGATTCATTTAATACTAATATTGTTTGTCATGAATGTGATTTAGCATCAATTGAGTCAATAAATCGTTTTGCTGATAATATAAATCAAAATGAAAAATATGTTCATTTATTAATAAATAATGCTGGTGTTATGTGGCATCCATTAAAATTAACTAAAGATGGTTTTGAACAGCATTTAGGTGTTAACTATCTAGGTGTGAGTTGAATAAAAAAAAAATCAAGATTGTTTTTGATAGAAGTTTTTTTTTCATTTTTAGGTCATTTTCTTTTAACAAATTTATTAATAGATAAATTAAGTAAATGTTCACCAAGTCGAATAGTTAATGTAACATCATCAATGTATAAACGTGGACAAATTGATTTTGATGATTTAAATATGTCAAAAAAACAATTTAATGCAAAAATAGCTTATGAACAAGCTTCACTGGCTACTGTTTTATCTACACAAGAATTTTGTCGACGATATTCAAGTTTAATCAAAATAAAAGCATGTGTATTCGAATTATTTCTTCTTGTTGTTTTTTAATATTAGGTTTGGGTGTCACGGCTAATTGTGTTAATCCTGGAATAACTCGAACTGACATAGCACGTCATACAATTGATAAATCATTTATAAGTCGAGTTATAATTGGTCCTTTTTTAAGAGCATTTATGAAAACACCAATGCAAGGTGCTCAAGCAATTCTACAATGTGCTCTTGATCCAAAACTTGATGGTCAATGTGGAAAATACTTTAGGTACTAATTAATAGATTATAAATATATTTGGAACTTTTTTGTTAAAACTTTTTAGTGATATGAAAGAAGAACCAATTCTACCGAAAGCTACTAATGAAAAAGAAGCTAAACGTTTATGGTTGGTTAGTGAACGATGGACACGTTTAACTAAATAAAATAAAAATGCTGTGTCCTTTTTTTTGTTGTTGTTGTTATTCTATTTACTAAAAGAAAATAGCTGAAAATGAGTTTGTTTACATGTTTTAAGATGATCTATACTTAGGCGCCATTTGTTTTAATAACAATAACAAAATCAATAAGTTAATCGATGTATTTGTAAAATAATAATAATAATAATAATAATAACAACATAATGAAAACTACATCGGTATTACAACAATCGGGTGATAATAATGATACGCAAAAAATTAAGAAATCAATTTTTGTTCGATCATTTATTGTTAAATATATCTATCGACCAGAATATATCTGGTATTCTATTGGTGTGATAGTTCGAATTCTTTGGACGTTAGTTTATTCACAACAAGGCTATATTCATCCAGTAAGAAAGACTATATTAATATAAAATATTCATAGAATTTTTCTTCTAGGATGAATTTTTTCAAGGTCCAGAAATCGTTTTTGGTATGTATTAATGAGTATGTATGTCTTCAAACTTGATAAGATCGATTGCTCAAAAAGAAAAAAGATGATTAAGATAATGTTCACTCTACGTCTTTGTTTGAATAATTATTAACAAATATCTATAAATGTTCGATATCGTTTGACTCGTAATCAACTCTTCCCTTTACTAAAAACCACGTATTGCTAGTCATGAGTCCGATGAGTTCTGATCCTACCATAATCGGAACATAGTCGGTATTCTTCCCTAGACCAGACGGATGTGATTTTTTAACTTAGAAAGACCTTATTTTTTACTTAATATTGGTCAATGAACTTTAACATGCCTATATAATCTGAAAAAGTCAAATCCGACAAAAACAAACTTTTTTTTACTGAAAAATCACTATGAGAGATCCTTACCATATAAATACGTGGAATAATTTTTTATAAGACGACTAATACATTATATATCATTGGATGCAGATTCCAAATGTAAAGTTCGTCTTCAATAAAAGTTTTTCTATGTCAAGCAAAAACAAATTTTACCTAGAAAAATTTTAGCTTAGTCTTCAGATGTTCACACTATATAGGTATGATGAATGAAGGAACATTCTCTGGAAGTTCATTACATTGAACACATATTTTCGTAAAAGCATTCGATCTTAAAGAAGAATGACTTTTTTCGAATTCCAAGCAGATAAAAGCAAAAATTGTTTGTTTTGAATTGATAAAGTGAAAGACACAGTATCAGATAATATTTAGTTTTCTCAGCGATGTTTTCTCCTTATTTTGTTCACAGTGAAAAGATTCCTAATTTTAATAGCCATGATTTTCGACGAAGCTTTCTCTGTATTATCCGACTAATGCTAACAACAAGAGCAAAGACTTTTATGTCATTAAACAGTCCATATACCAGATTAGATGTGTCCATTCTTTTCTGGTAGTTAGCGTTTTAATAAATAATGAACTTTCTAAATTCATAAAAAATCTGTTCGGAATTTTTTTTTCATATTAATCTTTAATGAATTTCTTTATCATATGGTAAAAACTCACAATGATGCATTCGAGAATTGGCCTTTTTTTATTCATACATTTAAATGTTTAGTTCATTTCAATTGATAAAAAGTCTTTTCTAATTGATTCTATTAGACGATATATTTCGAACTAATTTAACACGAACTCATGAATTTAATTCAACAGCACCACTTCGTTCAGTAGCTATTCTTTATTTACTCTATGGTTTCCCTGTATCGATTCTTTCATGGTTATCATCTATTTTTCATTGGCCTTCAATACCATTTCATCTGAAACTAATTTTTCCACGTTCCACTATACTTTTATTATCATTATGTACAGATATTCTTTTTTATCGTATGATTAAATTATTCTATTCAAATTTAAATTCTAAACAATATGGAATAATAATGAATTATTATGGTATAGCACATGTGACACTTGTTTTTTTTACACGTACATTATCAAATTCATTTGAAGCTTTTCTTTTTCTTGCTCTTATTTATTTTGTTAATATTAATATTTCATCATTATTATCAATTATTATGAATTCATCAAATGAAATTAGATCTATTAATCATTTAAATCGAAACATAGTACAATCAAAACATCAACCAATGAATAATAATTTTCATATAATTTTAACTTCATCATTAATTGGTTTAATTTGTGCTTTAGGTATTTTTAATCGTCCAACATTTCCAGCTTTTGCTATTGTTCCGATTATTTATTGGTTTACAAATATTGTTCCATTACTTAATCATTCATTTCGTGTTCATTTATTATTAAGTCGTATAATATCGTTTATTATTGGAACATTTATTATAACATCATGTTTAATTATACTTTTTGATTCATATTATTATAATAATGGATTTTCATTTATTATGGATTTAAAAAATCATCTTGTTATTTGTCCAATAAATTTCATTTTATATAATGTTGATTCAAATAATTTAGATCAACATGGTTTACATCCACCGTGGCTTCATTTTACTGTTAATGCAACAATTTTATATGGTCCACTACATTTATGTATTATTTTATGGAGTTTATTTCATTTATTAAATATTAAACAACATGGACAGTTAATGATTGATCGAATTTTAAAAATTTTTCATAAAAGATCAATAACAACTAGACAATCAGGTATCATAAAATAATCCATGATTGATAATAACGATAAACTAATGTAAAAAGGTCTTCCACTGATAAATCACTTTTGGATCTAAACTAGACATGTGCAAAACTACGAGAAAACTATTGATCGGGACCGAAACTCAAGCTTATAGTAAAATATTCTATAGTTTTAAGCAAATCATCATATGAATTCGAGAACAATTCAAGAGAGATGATCCAAAAAGTACTAGCCATCGACCAAATAAAAAAAAACGAGTATTGGAGAATTATTTCAGAGGTGGTGCTAATAAATTCAGAAATAATTTTCTCTAGACTATGACCCGAAAAACTAAAACTCACCCGGTTCAAAAATATTTTATTCCGTACATCGCTAGTCGAGCCTGTGTACATTATGTAGACTTAAATGAGCTATGAATACCTGGAAAGAGTTCGTGCTCTTAGCTTATTGCTACGGAGATACTGCACTTTTATGGCATTTTTTAAAATGAATCCGATGGTCCACATTCGGAACACTGGGAAAGCTGATTTTTGAGTTTCAACTTCGAACTTTCCATAGAGATAGGTCTAAACAAGAATAGTTTCAGGTCTTTTGATTTTCTTCTATCCTGAAATAAGAACATGAAATCTGCTGCTCCATGTTAGTGATGTAAAAGACATGCTATTACCATAATTTTATCTTAAGATAGGAGCAGTGACAAGATTTGAAACATTCACAAAAAAAGGGCTATTTCAATGTAAAGTTTCAGTCGAAATTCGAAATTCGAAAATTAATTGTTGTGGTGTTCCAAAGAGCGACTTTAGCATTCATTTTAACAAAAATACCTAACGTATAAATGCAGTATTTCTGTCGTAATAAGCTGCTGGTAGAAGTTCTTTTTCAGGATATTCATAGTTCATTGGATTCTATACAATGCACATAGTGTTGATTCAAAAGCCATTTTGGTCGTAAGCTCTTTTGTCTATTTCAAAAATATTGAATGAATTAAATTTCTATTCTTAGAACAATCAATCTCACCATTCCTACTGTATCTTTATTTGGTACCATTTATTCCATTATCAACATTTCCTCATCAAGAGCCTAGATTTCTTCTACCACTTATTTTTCCATTAATACTTTTTATCGTACCTTTACTAATCATAAACAATCTTCATACATATATGTTTCGTATATGGTTTGCATTTAATATCTTCATAACGATAATCTATGGTCATATACATCAGGGTGGTCTTTTGCCTGCTTTAAAATATATTCATGATCGTCCCATATTATCATCTAATAAAATGTCTATTATAAACGATATGAATAAAAAATTTCTTATCACTTATCATACATATATGCCACCAGGTTATTTAGTTACATCAATGTCAAAATCAGAATATGAACAAAAATTACAAACAATAATAATTGATCTTAAAGGTGCAAAACATGAAGAACTTGATTTAACAATTGAACGTATATTTCATGAATATTCAATGAATAATATTCAAATATTTGTTGTACTTCCAAATATTTCTCAAACTCATCTAAGTGAATTAAAACAAAAAAAATATTCTTCACAACTTATAAAACAATTTGGACCTCATCTAGATTTAGATCATGGTTTTGATGAACTATTTCATATTAAATATCAATCGATACATACAATATGGAATAAATATAAAGTTGATTTATATCAAATAACACGAAATTCTAAATAATCAAAATTTTTTTTTTGTATTATAATTTGTTTGATTTCGTTTCTTTTCAAAACGAATTCATCTTTTGTTATTATTTGATCAAAAATAAAAAAAATACAATTTTTTATGCTTTGTTAGTTTATTGGATTTGAATCGGTCTGGTTGATAAACGGTTTAATTGAATTAAATGTATAAATTTTAAAATCAAATACTTCTGAATACGACTGATTAATTTTTACAATAAAACGGATGAAAGAGAAGAAAGAAAAAACAACTTTCAGGAAATGTTCATTTTACAATCATTTCCCTTTACGATCGATATTCAAAAGCATTAAAGTTTTCCATTACATAGAATCTATATGTAAGCTTATTCATAAAAAGAAAAAAAAAAACTTCTTTGAGGTTTCTTCTTGCGGCGATAGTGTCTCGTTTACTAGTTGATTGATGGATGAAGTCGATCGAACTATGCTTCCTCTTTTCCCTCCCCTGATTCTCTCATTCCAAACGAGAGAGAGAGAGAAGAGTGAACAAACATTGCTTTCAACTACCATTCGACTAGAACAAACATACTAGCAGACAGGTAGTAGGTACTACGGCCATTAACCGCCACAGGGAACGTGTTCTTTCTTTCTCTCTTTCTCTGTCTCCTTCTCTATGCAACTTATAATTGTTAATATTCTTATCTAAACAGTGCCGCTTACAAATTTTTTTTTTTGCTAAGCATAAGTTTGTCGACTGATTTTACAAGTGGCAGCATTTTTAATTCGTTGTCATTGTATGGTCTCAAATCTCGTTTTTTTTTCTCGTTCTCTCTCTCTCTTTTTCTATTCAAACTAACGCAATCGGATCAATATGTAAAGAGAGCAAACGAAATAAATCGAGTGAGCGTATTATTAGTATCGCTCGAATGAGTCTTTGTCAACAAATATATATTTCAATGTGCAAATTCAAGTAGGAAAGAGAGAGAATTGTAGATATGTACACATTTGTGTATATATATATACTTCAAATTGCAAGGGTTCCTTACACACAAACCCATATGAAATAAACCCGTTGTGTCGTATTTTGCGTAGGCGTTCTTGCAAGGATAGACACGCTCTCTCGTGTAGAGAATTTCCTTGTATAACGCACTATGCAAGTACCACTCGGATTAATCATCGTAATAATTGTAAGTATATATTTTAATTATAATTATTTAAAATCAGATTTTAATTATTTACTTGATTTGCTGTTATTTATCGTTTGTACACTATGACACATTTCAGAATTATTATCGTCAAATTTATATTTTTCATTTGGTTGATCAATACTTGTTTCATTATTAACTTCAACGCTTTTTTATTTTTATTTTCTTTAGCCATTTGATGAGTTCTTTTTTGCTTATTGTAATAAATTTGTCGTAATTTCATTCTTCTATTTTTATCTTTTAGTTCAACTAATAAATCATTTCTAGCTTGATATTCATGTAAATCAATAACTGTTTGATAAACACTCAAATATTTATATGATTCAACACTATCTGATTGACGATTAATATCGTTGAACAAATTAAATGATGTAGGATATGAAAATGTCCAATATATAAATAAAAGCATAATTCAAATATCCTATGAAGAAATTTCTTCTATACGAGTTATATTTAAAGATATATTTGTTGGTAAAACTATCATGGTTATACTGAATACAAAACAAAAGAAACGTCTTTATTGCTATGCATCATTAGTTATAGACATTGATATAAAAACGAAACCTGGTGTGAAACAGAACAAGATATTTTTTAATGGTTAAATAATCACCTTGAATGTAAATAGATAAAATAAAATGAATATAAAATTTTCAATATTTTTATAAATGAGATTTTATATGAAGGCTTTGTTTTTTCAATAAAAGAAACTTTTTTATTTGAATTCGAAGAGACATTCGCTGAAAAAAATGCGTTTAATGAATTAAAGTACAACATAAACCATTGATTGTTGAGACCATGATAAAGTAGGCAGATAAGTGCACATGTTAAATATTGTATAGCTATTTTCTATTTTCGGCATGATAATCTTTTTGTCCACAATTATTAAGGTCAGGTATTAAATGATAAATGAGCGCGTAATCTTAGTTATTTTTTTCAATAGCATTCATTAGTACAAGTTTAAACTAATATTAAAGGTAAAGAAGTTCAAATATGTGTTGGCTAGAATATAAAAATGAAAACGTTCGGGTAGCTTCTTTCCCTTTCCTGACGCAAAATTTTATGTTTTTTTTCATTTTTGTCGCCATCGTACACTCTGAAGTAGTGCCTATCAACTGAATAAATTTTGGAATCCAAGGGCGATCTTTAAACGTTAAAAAGTTCGAGAAGAAATTTACGTAACAGAAATGTCGAATCACGTTGTTCTCAAACCAACCTTTTTTATGAAAAAAAAAAAACTGAAGAACCGTCTCTGTTTATCCGGCATGGTAAATTCGATGGTAGTCTTACAAAAAGAAAAACATGCATTTGTCAGGGCACCTTCAATACTTTACCTTTTTTTTTTATTCGAAGGACAAAAAATCAAAAGATATCCACCTCAAACAATGTCAAGTGTCTAAAAAAAAAATTTCCGCTCGATCGAACATATCATGTCGAAGCAATGAGCAGGGTCACTTTTCATTATCATAATCCCAGTATCTCACAGAAAACAACATTCGGGAACTTTGAGTTGATGACATGTTTTACTTTAATCGCCAGGATCTGCATATCCTAAAAACTTCAAATTTTTCTGACGAGCTATTCTTCAGAAATCCTGGAATGTAGACGGAACACTCTTAAACTCATCATTGTTCTTTGAATAATTTCATTTAATAATGAATGATAAAATTCCATGACATCCTAAATAATCACAAAATGTACGGCTAGAATATATGAAAAAGGGTTGATTTTCGCACATAGTGTCCCAAGGTCGTCACAAATGTAACGAGGAAGATTGATGATTCAGGAGGTTTATTGGAAGGTTTTTGTTACAGTTGACCGGATTTGGGTGAGGGGAGTTGAAAATTCTTTTTGAGAACTAGCAAGCAAAACAAACAAAAAATGCTGGAGAAAAACGAAACTTTCTTTAGAATGGAAGTGTCGTCCGTCCCACTCGGTAAATCCCTGTTTTGACAGACATTAGCAACAGGGTTGTCAGATCAAAAACTTCAAAATAAAAAAACAACAATTTTTTGAAAACTAATGGCTATCGTATTAGTATGCTGACACTAAATGGTCTACCGAGTTTCTGTTCATTGACTTACATTTTTATTTTCAAAGGTATTTCACTATAATGAAAGATAATACAATTAACACATTGTTTAATGAATATAAATAATAACCCAACAAAAGACACAGCATCGGACTCTTTTACTAGACTCAAAATTCGTTCGCACAAATAAAAGTATAGCAACAAACGACATATATACTATAGAGGCTAAGATATCCTACGAAGGAAAAAAATAAATGTTATATAACATCAATTCGATATTATTGTTCACATTTTCCATTTTTTTTTTTCGAGTATGCTTTATGAAAAGTGAATGTGAATGCAGGGAGGATTCAAACCCACATTCTAAGCCCTAACGAAGCTGTGACCTAAAAAGAATTCAGAATTAGGAAAAAATCAAAAGATCAGAAAGTAATTTGGAATAGAGACGTAAGCTAATACAGTTTAGTTTGGAATGTTGAAAATTTTTAAACATCAAATATTTATTTTTCTGTCGTAACGCTGGCATCCCACCAACAGTTTATAAAAAAAGAGGAAAAAAGAGGATCCACAGTTTAAAAAAAAAGAGGATTTTTGAAAATAAAGAGGAAAAGAGAGGTTTGGTTTTTTTCGAACGAAAAGTGCTAACAAATATCCACACAAGAGCAGAAGCCTGTAAAAATAGCATAACTATGATCTGCATTCAATGGTGAATCGAAACAGCGAAAAATGGAATTCAGTATTATTCATATGCAGTAAGACCTTCCTATGTGGATATTTTCCTATTATGGACACCTTTCGGTCTCCTTGAGCTATTTTTGCTGGAAAGGGACCTCTCGAACGTGGATACTTCTCTATTCTAGACTGCTGACACTTTTTGCCGTTCCAGCCTCCAGTGGAGAATCTCTTGAATATGGACAGTTGCTCAAGTTCACAGCATTTTTTCAGTGTTGTGTCAAAACTTGGAAACCAAAAATCGGGGAAACGGGAATCTACAAAAAGATTTTCGCGCAAGAAAATCAAGTTTTCATGTTGAAATTCAGGATTTTTCTTTTAGAATCCTCTTTTCCAAATCGAAGCCTCCGTATTTTTCGTTCTCTAGATTTCTCTTTTCCGGATTTTGAAACATGCTCATTTTTCTCGGAACAGAGCTGTGCATGTAAATGCGCACTGAATAGATCAGTATGCGATGTATCCTGCAATAGAAAGTAATCGTGAGAAGATAGACCAGGAAGTGCGAAAGAAAGAATTGAACACAAGTGCATTTATCTACTCATCAAGCAATACGAATTAACAATTCCTTGTAAGCGAACTCGAGCCGGAGATGACTGATGCCCATCTTGACTGGAAACTGTCCAAACAAAGCTTTATCACTAGCTATTGCAAAAAGAATCGCTGAAATTGAAACAGATTTCAATAACTGATGAGTGACGCTGATCCGAACAAAGTTCCATGGTACATAACCGTAAGGAAAGGGGTGGAATGAACTTTAGTAACCATAACAATGATTTCAGAACAAAAATTGAAAACCTCTTAAAAGTGAACACCTCCATATAGTAGACATTTTGAAAAGGCCCCTTGGATGTCCACAAAAGGGGTTCTACTGTATATATGGGCGTGCTCAGTTAGCTTGATACCCCAGATCACTTTTAAGTACAAGTAGCGGAGTTCTATGCACTTATCTTGCCCAAATCCCAGCCACATTTTCGCATTGATCTGTGGATCGAAGATAACCGAAGATTGCATAGTACAGCTAATGGTTATAATCAAAAGTGAACTGGGTATGAAGCTCACTGAGCCCGCCCAGACAGATAGAGTGGTCGTATTTGCCATGAAAGCATAAAAACAAGAAGCGAACATATGTTGACAAAGATAAATCGCACTGTGAATCATCGGATGAACCAATAATAACGAACTTTTTCGTCAATAGGTGCTATTTTCGTGAAAAAGGAGGAAAAAGAGGATTTTTCCCCAAAAAGAGGTCAAAAAAGAGGATTTATAAAAAAAAAGAGGTAAAAGAGGAAAAAGAGGTCGAGTAGGAGACTAGGTCATAACGGCAGTTCAACCGTGATCAGCTTACACCTCTCATGAGAAAAATGTTCAAATTTCAGAAACTTTTCTGACTTTTGAAAAGATCTGACAACCCGATCAACAATCAGAAGTCATGAACATATACATAATCATGATTAATAAGAATTCAAATTGCATATCGATTTCCTTTAAAATTATCACATGAAGATTAATTCAGTTCTACTAAGCCGTGTTGATACTTAATCCAGATTTATTACTAGAAAAAAAGCAGTTTGTGTCTCTCAATTTATTCTAAAATTTGTATGATTAAAAAACTTGTCAGGCACTTCTGTCGTTGTTGTATTCAAACATATAGAGATTCTTTTCTTTTTGAAAAATCATCTCGTTTGAGTATAACTTGATGAATCTAAACGAAAATACTAATGATAAGAAAAAGGCGACCTCTTTAGTATTAATTACTTCGATTGGCTGTCAATAAACATTTATAAAGCCTTTAGTATGTGTCAGTTTTTTCAAACGAAAAGTCTAAAATATAATCATATGTACTTGGAATTTTCCAATTTCACGGTTTTAATTATGTCATGTCGTTTTCCTTATTTTATTCATGCATATTTTATTATTTATTAATAAATAATGATCGATGGATTCATAATGGTAACATTATATATTCAGAACACATATTCTTTAATAATAAAATCTCAAGCTGGTATTGAATATATTGATCAGAATGTTAAAACAAGGCAATGATGTTTGAAGTTGATCTTCAAACATCAATAGACATATCCACATGTGACAAATTGTATCTATGAATAGATAATTTAGCTGAAAATGAAGTAACAAGTTTTGGTTAGTACATTACATATGTATTTGTTTTATAATTATAAATTTGTCGTTTAGATACTCGTGACGAGAATATTTTTATTGAGAAAACAATAGGCATGATACTTATTGAAAGGAATTTTCAAAATATTTATTATATTATTATGATTCATTTAATCATGTGTCCATAGGTACTATCGAATGATTCAGATCTTATCAGTAAGTAATCAATATTTCTTTTTCTATATCTATGACTAATAAAATCTTATAGATAGTTAGAATATCTTTACTATGTAAGACAAGTATTATTTTGATAGAGATAGAAAGAAAATAAATAAATGATTGAATGAATTAATTAACTATTTATTATCAAATCTTAGATAGATTAAATTAGTTTTTATTTGAGCAAATACTTATCATCTTATAATGAAATTAAGTTTCAGTAGATTTTCTATGATTTAAATCGTGCATCACACATACTCTGATCTATGGATTATTCAATAACATACAAATCTTTGTTTTTCTTGTCAGTATTAATCAGAAAACTTCGTCGAAAAACTCTACTTTTAACAGTTAGTTACTTTTTTTTACTGCGAACAAAATAAGAAGAAAACATTCCTGAGAAAATTACATAAAGTCTAAAGTTGTGTCTGTCGCTCTATCGATTCGTAGAAAAACAACTTTCGATTGTATCTGCTTGGGATTTGAAAAAAAGTCATTCTTCGACATCAAATGCTTTTACAGAAGCATGTATTCAGTATAATGAGTTTTCACAGTTCCAAATTGGATGAAAATACCCATCCGTTCTTAACATCCAAATAGTGTTAGCGTGCTAGGATTGAACTAAGTGCTTTCTAGATAAAACTTGTTTTCCTCTACATAGAAAAACTTTCTTTGTAGACAAACTTTATATTTGGAATCAACATCGAACGATGTATAATGTAGTAAATTTACAAAAAATTTCTTTCATATGTATATATAGAGTAAGATGCTTTCTCACAGTGACTTTTCAGATGATGTTGATATTTGAGTGATGATAAAGTAATATTAAATAGAAAATAAAGTCTGTCGAGGTTTAAAAAAATTATATATATATATCCACTTAGTCTATGAAAAAATATCTGCTGTGTTCTTGGTGTTATGTTTAACTTCATGATTTTGACCACTATATCATTTGATCTACATGATCATTATTTCTTGTTTATTTCGTTAAATTTGTCCTATATTTCGGATGGTAAGTTTCAAAGGGTCTATATTGTAAGCAACGAAATAATATATTGAGAGTCAGTGAAGCGTACTGTGCATGTCAACCATGACGTTGAATAATAAAAACCTTTACTCTCAATCAAAAACTAAGTGTTTACATTAATTTTATAGAAGAAAAAATATTCTTTTTTATTTATTTTTTTAGTATTTAATATTGTTGAGTTATGGTGATTTTCTTTTATTTAGTGATAATATTTTTGGGATATTGACATTCATTGCTAATAAACTAACATGAAAATATTACTATTATCCATTTCTGAAAATAAGTTGCTTGGGCAGAATTCTTATAACTTTTGAAAGAAAAATGATAGAGACCTGAGATTTTCACCGTTGGATAGAGGACATCAGGGCACGTAAGACTATGCCAAAAAAGATCTGTTATACAAGGTACGTGTTTATAACTTTTAAATAAATTTGGATGAAAATTACATAAAATATGCCTATTCTTGAGATTTAACCTCAGTATACAACTGATTCNTTTCCTTTTTCTCACAGAAAATCCTTCTCTTTCAAAAAGGGCAACTTCAACATTTTATCTTGTTGAGTTCAAATGATGCAGAGGCACTGTCTACTGTATATCTGATGTGTGACTCAGTTGTATACTGAGGTTAAATCTCAAGAATAGGCATATTTTATGTAATTTTCATCCAAATTTGACGACGCAGATAACGATTATTTTTATGGATTGACCCATCGGTTTTTACATAGACTTATGTGCCCTGATGTTCTCTATCCAACAGTTAAAACCGCAGCTCTCTATGACTTTCCCTTCAAAAGTTATAAGAATTCTACCCAAGCAACTTATTTTCAGAAATGGATAATAATTAATTTCTAAATTTTAAATAATAAATAAAACAAAACAAAAAGAATCGATTTTGTTCTATTTTCCAGATTGGTATGTCTCAAATTGTCTCATTACGTGCATTATGTTCGAGTTCAACTATTGCTACTGTATTGAGAAGGACAATTTCTGGACATCGACTATGTCAATATCAAAAGCAATATTCATATTCAACTTTATCGACATCATCTAATCAAATTCTAGTTAGAGAAAATAATAAATGTATCAAACAAGTAAGGATATTATTAATCTTATTTTTGACTAATAATCTTTTATTTTGTAATCATGAGTCTAGCTATATAGAAATAATAAAAATGAATTCAAATTGCTTGAAACTTTCAGCCCTATATCATGTCATTTTCAGGAGATATTCTTTAAACAAAGGTGAAAATAGCCTTATTTCACAATCTGAAATTCTATTTAGACCCTCATTGTATATATCTATTTTTTCATCTTATTTGAAAGAGCATGTCAAACTGCATTGCCTGACAAAATTCTTATTGTTCATTCTTACCTTTTTGCGCCGAAAGAAACAGATGACAAGTTCAATACCCAGCAAAACTCACAAAAAAGTCATCTATTTATAGAAGTACTTTTTTTATATAATAATAAAAGGTCTAATTCAAAGAACGAGATGTGTCAGGAACCAAATGACTACACTAAAGCTCCATCGAGAATTCCGAAATGTGCGATCAAAAAAAACTACGCGGCAAATAAAGTTGTGAAAGATCTAATCTGATGGAAATGGACTTTTTTCGAGAGGTGTCAAGTTGCTTAATTAATTTGTATAAATATTTGATCCTCATCTTTTTTCTAGACTCATGCTGCTCAAACATTGCCTATCAGTTCTTCACATTCTCCAGTTCATACATTTACTCGTCGTCTTCATACAAGTCCTGTATACTGTATGTAGTTTTCTTTTCTTGCATTTGAATCTTATCATTTATCTTTTATATTTAGTTGATTTGATTGACGTCAGAGCACCATCATTTCCTGAATCAGTAACAGAGAGTTGTGTTCGGTTATTAAAAAAGATTGGAGATAAAGTATCTGCTGATGAAATAATAGCTGAAATCGAAACACACAAAATAGCGTTAAATATTACTGTACCACAAGCAGGTACAATTACAGCATTCCTGGTCGCTGATGGTGATAAGATTACATCCAACGCACGTATAGCCTTACTTAATACAAGTGATGATGTCAAACCAGTATCAGGTTTTTATTCTATAGTAAAAAAAAAAAATGATAAGTCATCAATTTTCTAATAGAAAATAAAGAAGATGCATCAACTAAGATAATCGATACCGAGAAAGTCAAACATATACCAGAAGAATCGACAGATGATAAAATCAATCCTGAACAAACAAAAGAAACATCATATACATGTTCAGTGTCACCTAAACCATCGTATACATTAGCTCCAGCAGCAGGTTCAGAACGTGACACTTCAGCACGACCAAAATTAACTATCATAAATAAACAAGAAGTTAGTGATATTCATACATATAAAAGTAGTGATACACGAACAGAAAGACGTGAAAAAATGTCAAGAATGCGTTTAAAAATAGCTGAACGTCTTAAACAAGCACAAAATACGTGTGCGATGTTAACGACTTTTAATGAAATTGATATGAGGTAAAACAAAAAAAATCTATTTAGAATTTATACCTATGACTATTTTTTTTAGTAATATTATTGACTTTCGTAAAAAATATGCTGATCAATTTCTAAAACGTCATAACATTAAATTAGGATTTATGTCAGCATTTATTAAAGCATCTGCATGTGCTCTTTTAGATAGTCCTATTGTTAATGCAGGTAATAAATAATTTATTATGAATTATTTGATAATCATTTTCTTTTGTTTTTGTTTTTGTTTTAAAGCTATTGATGGAAATGAAATAGTCTATCATGATTATGTTGATATCAGTGTTGCTGTTGCTTCACCAAAGGTGCTTTATTAAGATGGAAGAAAGAAAGAAAAAAATAAACAAAAAGTCCTTTACTTTAGGGTTTAGTTGTACCTGTCCTTCGAAATGTTGAAAACATGAATTATGCTGATATTGAACGTGCAATAAATGAATTTGGTGAAAAAGTAATATGAAAATTTATTTTTAAAGTTTTTGTAATATATGTATATCATTTCTTTAGGCAAAAAATAATTCACTTACAATTGAAGATATGAATGGTGGAACATTTACAATAAGGTAACATTTTTTTTCTTTAGATTAAGGAGTTCCCGTAACTTACTCAAAAGATCTATTCAAGATACATATAACTCCATTGGGATTGTCTTACGCATTACTCTCTAACATGAATTAATCCTTCAACAGATCTATAGTTAAACACTATTCTAAAATTTGACAACTAACTAAAGACTAGAGCTCGGTGATTCCAAAAAAAACTGGAACCGACTATTTAAAATATCTCGGATCGGAATCCTTAAATCGTCATATACGTACTGAAATTTTTAAATCTCTCCTCTCATTCTATTCGTATCGAACTTTCTTGGTCTCAAGTGAATGTTGGTTATAAAAATGTCTTGAATACTTTACTTTAGTGAAGTATATGATTGATTACGACCTACTTCTATGAAGAATGTACGTCATTCAATGCAATTGGATAATACTAAAAATGAGCTAGTTAATAAAACACTTCATGGCTTGGTTATTTCTTTTGTTTGACATTTCATGAATGTCTTACTTGATCTGTATTTGTATAATTGCCTATATTACATTTTTGGAATAGTTTCGAGTCGGTGACGAAGAAAGTTTAATAATTCGAATCATTAAAACAATTAGTAAATACAAACAAAGAAATAATCGAGTCATGAAGCATTCTGTTAGCCAATTAATTTGTAGAGCTGTTCAATTATACACTATACTACAATAAAGTACTTAAGCCGTCCTTGTAACTAATGCCCACTTGAGAGCAAACGAATTCTATACAAAAAGCATGAGAGGGGGAGACAAGGCTTTTGCCCAGAGGGGTATGTCGAGAAATCTTCATTTTTTCATTGTTTGTATTAAAGATTTCAGTATTTATGTATAATATTGCTTTGTTCAAGTAATGAAATATGTGACGTCTTTCATCTCAACAATTCAATAGTGAAAATATCTAAAAAGAGATTTAAAATTTTCGTATCTATCTCATGATTTAACAGTTTTAGTTCTACGTAATTTTTGGATTCGCTGAACTCTGCTACCAACACTGGATGGTTCAATAGTCATAGTAGTGTCCCGTCGAAGCAGTTTTTGTTCTTGTAATACCTTTGGAACACACTAGCTTATGTAAAGATTACATTTGTCGCAACATGAAATGGTCTTAAACTAAAGAAAAATTATCATTTAATATACATTGTAGTAAAATAAATCCAATATTATTTATACGTTGAAATTTGTCAGCGTTAAGTTAAGATAATTATCTCCTTCATCGACTAAAAAAGAGACAAAAATACTCGTACAGACAGCATCGATAAAAAACTGAAAACAATCAAGAAGATAAGACAATAATAATATTATCTTTCGAGATAATCCGAATATCTAATGAAAGTATTTAATCTGTGTTGATAGGTATCTGTTATTTTTCTTTTATTGCAGAAGACAGATTAATAAAATAACAATTGAAATAGACTACTGGTCTCCTCACTAGACCAAATAGTATAAATAGATCGATCAGCTCCACTTCCTTGTGTACAGGATGATTTAGCAACTCCAGTTTCGTAACGGCATAAAAAGAAAATTATTTTTTATTTTTTTGTAAGACGGATATAAGTGTTGGTGAAATTGAGATATTCATACTTCACAGCTACATGCAAGCATAACATCCACCCACATACATTTATATAACAACAAATGATGCTCATATTTATGAATAAGGACAATCTGCTTATTTATCTATGCGTAAAATATTAATAAGTGTTATGTTTAGATGAGAATGTCTAAAAAAATTCTTTTCATGTTATTACCCCTCAATGGCAACTGGAGTTGCCATTTTATATCGTACAATGTCTTGTTCGACTAATTCGTATGAAAATTTTGAAATGCATTTTATTTAATAATAACAACTTTCATCGACATTTATCACATAACACATCAGCAAGATATAGTTAGTTTTCGTTGGTAAATAAACAATTAAAAGAAAAGATGTCCTTTTTTTATAGTAATCTCATAATTGTCTCTGATAAGTTGTATATGTTGGAGACAGAGCAATGATACGAAATATTTTTTTACCAATTAGTAGCTTAGAGAATTCTCTGTACATAATGTATTAGGAATTTTCTAATACCCTGCATTCTGTATTGTCTGCAATGTTTCTAAAAATGGCAATTCCAATTGCCAATGGGAAGTAAAAGGTTAATAAGCGATGCAAAAGTCATTGAAAAAATGTCGGAATCTATTTCTTAACAAGCAAATATCAGATTGATTTCAGGATTTGTTTTTTTGTTTTGGAAAAAAAAACAAAGTTTGAAGAGTATATACATGAAATAAAATAAATTTTTGGGATCATCTATTTTTTAATATCGTTTCTATTCCTACCGAACACTACGTTATAGTAATGGCTTTTCAGTTCATACATCGCGAAGGTTCGTATTGTTATTTGGTTTACTCGTTTTTGTCATTCAGAATTCTATGTCACAAAAAAATCTCTTATTATAAAAACCGAAACTATTATTCTTCCAGTAGGTTTGTTAAACAAAACATTCACTTCACAACAGTAATAGTTATGAGATTTTATTTAATAAATAAGTCGTGAGAGTTGTTGCTTAAATTATTTTAATATGAATTTTGATATAGTAATGGAGGAGTATTTGGTTCGTTATTTGGTACACCAATTATCAATCCGCCACAGTCAGCAATTCTTGGTATGCATGGAATATTTGATCGACCTGTAGTTATTAATGGCAAAGTATGTAACATTTATTTGCGTTTACGTTTTTTATTTTTTATTTTTTTGTTAGTTGGAACTTCGTCCAATGATGTATGTGGCACTTACATATGATCATCGTATATTAGATGGTCGTGATGCTGTTCTATTTCTACGAAAAATTAAGCAATACGTAGAAGATTCTCGTACTATTTTTCTCGATATATAAAGATCTAATTTCTATTTATTTTATTCTATTCATGATTCGTCTCGTTTTATTGTTAAGACTTTCAGGTCTATTGATATATTTTATGTTTTAATTTTTTATTCGTGCGAATATTTTGATCTATGACATTATATTCATATGAAAATTCTTTTTTTTTCTGTTCAAATTCTTTTTTTTTACAAGAAAACAAAAGATTATAAAGAATATCCTTCGTTGACTTTGTTTTATTGTTTTGCTTTCTTTTCAATGGTTAATCGAAGGTGTATGAGAAAAGAAAGAAAGAAAAAGGTAAATGAGAAGACGATGTAATGTGAGATAGATAGAACGTTCATGGTCATTGATTGGGTTTTACATTTGAGCGGACATTCATTCGATTGCCTTGAAGCGTGCAGTAAAGCATATACATACAATTGATGTGATTTCATCTTCTTTTTATCGTTCTCTTTCTTTTTTTTTTCTTTTGTGGTTTCTACTGGATACATGTTGATAGGAGTGTACATATAAGTAAAGCAAGAAGAGAGAGAGAGAGAGAGAGAGAGAGAGAAATGTTGATCATCTCTTTTCTGTTGCCTGTCATTGCTCTAAGGCGTTAAGTGTAAGATTCGGTTTCCTTTCTTTTCACTTAAACACCTGATGGCTGTTGGTAATGATAGTTAGTCAGTGCCGTCAGCTGCAGCGTATCAACTATGTCCGGTCATCATTATTATTATCGTCGGTGTTTTTCATTAAAACGAACGAGTGAATTTGCTCAACATTGGTTTCGTGAACGTGCATCATCCTTATCACGTCGACATCAATCTCTCAAACGTGATACTTCATCGACTATCGATATCAGTCAGAAGGTAGTTTTGTTGTTATTGTTGATAGTTGAATGATTGACATTAAGGACACATGTATATGCTGACGTTTCTATACATATCTATTGATAAAATAGATTAAAAAAAAATTCCAAAATTATTTCTATTTGTAGAACATTGGCCTAAGAATGGCCAAAAAAAATTATGATCTTCTATTTAAATTATTATTAATTGGTGATAGTGGTGTTGGTAAAGTGAGTAATTTAAAATATAAACAATAGTATGATGAATTGTTTTCATTGATTTTTTTTAAATATTTTTAGACATGTATTTTATTTCGGTTCTCTGATGATTCATTTAATTCTTCATTTATTTCCACAATTGGTATTGATTTTAAAATAAAAACAATCGAACTTAACGGACGAAAGATTAAATTACAGATATGGTAAGATGATTATTCGTATCTTTAAGCTATACAAAAATTTTGTTAAATCTAACAACAATAAAGAAAAGAACCTATACAATAGAATTATGCATTTTTAAAATAATCTTAAAACAAATAATAATATCTAGTTATCAAGAAGGACGCAATAACAATAGATTTGTACATAAATATGTATTAGAAAAACGAGACTGATAAAGATAATCATCTTTACCGGTATATCATGTTACATGTTATATAATCAAGTTTTATAGATAGAACCTAAAAAATGACTTCTTTTTTGTTTATAAATTTGTATTGGATATTCAAAGAAATATATATATATATATTTTTTTTTTCTGTAGGGATACTGCCGGTCAAGAGCGATTTCATACAATTACAAGTAAGATTTATTGAAATTTGTTGTAATATAAATATATGTTTTCTTTAATTAAATTATCCTATTTCTAATTCTCAGATCTCGTCGGTCTTAAAAGAGATATACAACTAGTGCACAAAGAGATCACATTATAAAGATATTAAAAATACAGATAATGAGTATAATATCTGAGAAAAGAATGTTAAAAAACGAGGATAGTAAAAGCTGTCGGAACACTACTAAATATATAGATACCCGTTTATATCTAGCGATACTATTGAGTATTCCATGCTGTGCCATGTCATCCATCTTATAGTCAATGCAAACAGATCCATATGGTGTATGAAACGTTTTGACCTTCCGAAACAACAAATGTTTGAGTTACCTTCATACCATCTGGTTCTGTGAGCATTTAATAATAATTGCTCTAGTAACAGTCGTCAATCGAGTGATTTAGACAGAATTTTAAGATATTTTTCCCAATAGATATAACATATATCATCAAGTGAACGTTCATCATAAGTAGATGCAAAGAACAAAAATCATCTCAATAATTGCAACGCAATATTCATTCAAGATCCGTAAAATAACAATGATGAATTCAGACTGTTGGCAGCTGGTGGAAAACCTGTAGAAAGAGAATAAGCGCATAAAAAATAAGAGAGCAAATGTAAAACAGACACTTCATAAAGCTGTTGCAGAAGTACCACTAAATCTCATTGAATTGATTAATCCTGTTTATTGACGGATTCGAAGACGGGCTAGTCCAATCATGTTCTCCCATTCTAACTTGTTTGTTAGCCAGTAATCGAGATACTTAAATGATGAAATCTATTCCATAGTAAAGCTTTCATATCAAAGTATCGGTGCATCGAATTCGAACAGTTGTGATGATGCATGGGCAGAAAACACAGTATCTGTTGTTTAAGTAATCAACAGATTGTAGCGCCTATATCAAATACTCTTTTTTAAATATAATTTTAGCATCATATTATCGTGGAGCAACAGGAATAATGCTTGTTTATGATGTAACACAAGCTAGATCATTTGAAAATATTAATAAATGGCTACGTAATATTGATGATCATGCATCCGATGACGTTGTTAAAATGCTTATCGGTAATAAATGTGACATGGACGATAAACGTTGTATTACTCGAGCACGCGGTGAAGCATTAGCACGTGAACATGGAATACCATTTCTGGAGACATCAGCCAAAAATAATATTAATATAGAAAAAGCTTTCTTCGAAATATCACGACTTATATTAAACAAGACTCCATTAAATTCATCTGAATCGACAACTGGAGGATCGATTGGTGTATTACAAGGAAATAAACAAACGAATCAATCGAACTGTATGAATTGCATGTAAAACAAATCGAATGGAAATATCAATCAATCAGTCACAAAGTAGAGAAAATTTATTTGTCTTATTTGTCATTAACGTCGCATTTTTTTCTCTTTATCTGTTGTTGATTCTATTGTTTCTTTCTCTCTTTAAACAGGTGTGATCGCATGTGTAATTTTCTTTTTTTGTTGGACGGTATTTGAATATAATGAATTAAATTTAATAATACATTCACAGAGGGAGATGATGAGTAAATTGAAGCAAATATCGAAATTATTACTGTGCTCCTGGTATTTATTCGGAATAGAAATATATATCCTGATAAGTATCATAATATGATTAATATCAGGTTATACGGAATGCTCATGAAATCAAAAATTCAATGATGTTAGATTGATTAAATCTCATCTAAATTATGATAATCATACAAAATGATAATTTCAATGATTTTGAAATAGATTATATTATGTATATATTAAGTTATTTAAAAACTAAAAGCAATATATATTAAGAAATTGGTCTAATTTGTACCATTGATCGACGAAAATAAAGTTTAATAATGTTTCTCATATCACGATCGAGTATAATTGTAACAATTTTTTCAATTGCTACTGTAAATGATACTGTAACAATGCCCATTCCATATAAAAATCGAATATTAGTCAATAAATAAAGTATTGTTGGTGTAGCGCCTAATGTATATATAGCAAATAAAATCATAATATTACGTAAAACTTCAAGATCACGATTTGATCGTCTTCTTGTTGCCACTATAAACATTCTATATCTAGGATGTTTAATACAGATATAAATATAAATATGTGTAGCAAATATTAATATTGCTGGAATTAAATAATAAGCAACAGCAGTATATATAATATGTAAAGTAAATTTTCTTGGTACCCAACAAAGAGTAAATGGCCGATGATGAATATCATCGGTAAGAAGTGCTGGTAAAGGTATTAATAAAACAATAATCCATTGAATAAAAATAAGAATAATATGAGTTTTAAATGATGTAATCCATGGATATCTAGTTGAAAGAATTGAAAAAAAAAGTCGTGATGTAGCTTGAGTTAGATAAGAATAAACAACGGCTACAACTGCCATATAACCAAAAAATCCACGCCATCGACATGATGAATCATTTATATCCCATCGAATAAATAAAAGAACAGCATAGTTAACACATTGTACTATACAATAGAATATCGATGAAATAGATGTATTACAAATTAATAGATGTGTTACTGTATGCAATCGTTTTATACATATAATTAAAATTAATATTAGACATGCAACGATAAAAGCTATTAAAACACCAACCATTGATACAGGAATAATTATTTGATAACTTTTTAATTCTTCTAATGCGTCTGTTGTTGTTGTTGAGTACATTTTATTGAATTTCTTTTATCATTCAAAAGATGAACTCATAAAACATTGAAAAAAACAATTTCTTTGCAAAATGAATTCCATTATCTTGATTCCATATGTGTGAACTATTTTATAATTTATTTTTATTTTTTTATGTAGCAAACTCTTGATTTTTACAACGATATAAAAGTCAATGTTCTGTTCTGCTCAATGTCCCTTTTGTCAGAAGAGTTATTTTCTCTAAACTGTCGAGCATATTTTTATCGATTTTTATTATTTATTAACTTATAGATATGTTTTGAGCCAATAGAATATATCTAAGTTAAATGCATTTTCATTGCACATAGCTTTAATCTTTTACAACGTCAGTGTCGAGAAATATCATGATCATTTATTTGAATAAAAGTTGTTTATTAGAAATAATTCTTTATGTTGTACCTAAACCATATTGTTTCACATGAATAATAAAACTTACTTTTATTTGGCTAAGCGACATAATAAATATGTTTAAAATCTAAGACATTCTATTTTTGCAGATGCGAAAAAACAAACTTTACGAAATAATTATTTTCATTCTAATTGGATTGAATATATTTAATCAAGAGTTGCATTAATAGAGGAATCACGATTTATATGGTTTACTGTTAGTTGATTATTTAGAAAAAGAGAAATGAGCTAATGATGAATAGTCATTGCAACAATCAAGGTATTGTCAGAACAAAAAAGAATTCAATAAATATACAAACAAATCACAAAGAAACAAAGTGAGATGGCTGTTTACCTTTTTGATGCGTCTTGAAAATGTCTTATCTGAGTACCAAATTAAGGTAAAAGTTCGACCAACCACGCTGAAAATTATAGGAGTGACTAATAGCACTGGGCTCTACAATTGCTAAAAGTTTCATATCAAACTACTTTTATTTTCTAATTGGCCAACAATGGCTCCAAAACGCGTTCCATCCTTGGAATTCATATAGAAATCATTTGCAGAATTATTTTCTTCTAATGTTATTTTATTAGAATTTCGGTTACAATTTTTAACTCAACACTATGTTCGTTTCGCGAAAACAGTAAAAAATAAATTATACTTTATGACGGAGAGAATCAATATCGTTTGTTAAAAATCTTCTATATCATCAATGACAAAAAACAAGTAAGAATGATTCGATTGTAGTCTTTTCTCTTTACTTTTGAAGATTTATTTCGTGTTAAAGAGTTGTACATAGAAAAAGGACCATTTTAGACTCTCATTAATGCGGTGCGAAGCACAGCATTTATGTAGTCCGTCGTGAGTTTTTAAGGTGCGAAGCACTTTATAGTACCGCGTCGCGAGTTTTCTTTACTTCTTTCTTTCTTAATTTCTACCTAGACCATACGCAGTTTTTTTCACATTTTGTGTCGCCATGATCTTCACAACCAAAAGTCAAAAAATCTTCGTTGAAGCATCAGATGAAAGCATCGAGATTGAACCGAAACCTCCTTTTTTTCGATTTTCGTTACGATGTCTCATTCGGATACAAACAGGGTCGAAAAAAGACAAATTTTTTCAGAACTTTGATTATTTTCAAGCTTCGAGATAATTAAAACATGAAAAGTTAGGCGCAATTATCTTGGTTTATACATGAAACAGCTGTAATTACACCTGATGATAGATAATGAATCAGATCGATAATTAAACGATAAATTGACAATATGTTTTCGAAGAATGTTGACAGATATTTACAGAGTTGTGGCAATAATGAATCCCACAATAGATACTTTTCAGCTACTGTCAAAGTTCAATCAGGTAATCGATGGAGACACAGCTATTCCATTTATAACGACCGATAGAAATCGTTGCTTTCTGTGGAACAGAAACAATTCCAAGACAAACATGATTTGACTTTCAGTCTCTAATAAATTTTTTGTTTTTTTAGAAAAACTGATTATTTCACATAGTCGGCATTCGTGCTTCGCACCTTATCTCGCATTGCCGACTTTGTCGGGATGCCATCGAGTTAATGCGGTGCGGTNTGAATCATATAAATAATTAAACGATCAATCGAAATCATCTTTCAGAAAAGTGTTTATAGGCTGTCATAGAGTTTTCGTGGCGATGAATTTTGTTATGGTTCTTTTCAGTTTTCTCACGAGTTATACCAGCTGACGTGTGAAAAAGTAATTTTTCAAATTCGAATGATACAGAGAAATGTTTATATTCGGTAGTCTGTACACAATTGAACTAGAAATGAAGATTGCTATTAACTCAGCAGTTGAATTTTCGTTTTCTGCGAAATACCGTTTTTTCGAAAATTCGAGATTCGTGCTTCGCACCGCATTTCGTATTCGAGTCGAAACTCGAATACCATCTAGTTTCCTTACTTGACGTACGCATCATATCTCGTCATTTTTTGATGCGATGATCTCGAGAACCAAAGATCACAAATTAATGGTTAAAACGGGAGATGATAGTGGCATGATCGAAGGCATGACATCTTTTTCCAATCTTTCATACAGTCTTTGGTTCGCACAAAAATACCGTTCCAAAAACACGATTTTGACAAAATTTTGCATTGAGATAATTAAAACGCAAAATTAAAGCGAAGTTAAGCGCCATTCTTTTTCTTTGAATGTAAGACAGCTGTGATACAGCTGTTTATAGATAATGAATCATATAGATAATTAAACGATCAATCGAAATTGTCCTCCAGAAAAATGTTCATAGGCTTTCATAGAGTTTTCTTGGCGATGAATTTTACTATGGTATTTTTCAATTTTCTCTGGACATATGTCATCTGACTCGTGAAAAAGTAATTTTTCGAATTCGAATGATACAGACAAGTGTCTATGTTCGGTAGTCCGTCCACAAGTCAACCAGAAATGACTATTTCTATTAACTGGACAATCGAATTTTCGTTTTCTAGAAAGTACCGTTTTTTCGCAGATTCGACAGATTCGTACTTCGCACCGCATTTCGTATTCGAGTCGAAACTCGAATATCATCTAGTTATCTCATTGTATTCACACCTATGATATTCAACTTGCGTTTTAATACATAAAATCATAATGTTAACATTTGTAAAAATTTCTTTATTCATGTGTGTCGTCTATTTGTGCTCTTACCTTTCAAAACGTTTACTTATTCTTTTTCTCTGAGCTTTCTTTCTGAACATCAAATTAAAACTGAAAGAAAAAAAATTCGTTGGAATTCGCGAACATATTCAAAAGAAATGAAAACTTACGAGCAATCAACAACACATATTCGAAAATCTCGAATGAAATACGGTTGAAAAAAAATGATATATGCATAGTTACTTTTACGAATTTGCTTTGTCGTTTCATTCGTCGCATGGTATTTGTTTCAGTTCTCTGTGTAAGCAAAGAATTCCACAATCATGATAAAGGTTGATGACATATAGTCAATAAACACATTGACATAAACAAAATTAAATTTTCACTGACAGTCATTTTAATAAAACATACTGCTTGAAACAAACCAACATTAATGTCGAATAAAGTTTCTTCATCTTTTCTAATATTACCTGTGGAACTTGTCTATCGCATTTTTGGACAATCTCGATAGATTAACAATTTTATGTTCAGTTCGTAATGTCTGTATACGACTGAATGTGATCACTGACACATACCATCGATATCAGGTAAATGTT